TAGGGTCTCTCATGGGTCATCACCCGTCAGGATCATCCACTCTCTGCCTCCCAAGCTGACCTGCAGGCACATCCTGCCTGACCTGGCTTTTAAGGTGAGCTCTGAGACTCCAGACTCAGCTCCTCGGGCTCTAGAGACAGCCATCTCCCGCCCCTTATTGCATTTTCCTCGTTCCTTTTCTGTTTGCTTAAGATACTATCTGCTTTGCTTCTTCATTCTTGTATTCTTGTGAGCTTGTGGCTCTGAAACGTTTTCCATCTGTTCTCGCCGCGTCAACATTCTTGGCACATAATTCTGCAAGTTTTTCAAATGTTTCTAACTTCTCACCTACAGCAGTGTCTCCTGTGTGGGTCTATCCTCAGCCATGTCTCCTATTTGGGTCTATCTCCAGCAGTTTCTCCTTGCTGCGGGCCTTTGCTGGGCTGGTTGCTGGGATACTGGCTGTGGCAGCTCCTGCCTCACTTCCACAAAACCCACACGACAGTAATGTGCAACTGGTTCCTTGTTTTGATCACATCTCTTAGAAACTGAGTTCCTGATCTTTTTGCAGGCTGGTTGAGCACCTGGCCTCATCTTCCTCCAACACAGAAGTGGAGAGAACAGCTTCCTGCTCCTGTTGATAAATCTCCTGTTGTAGATCTCATCCCTGCATTTCAGTTTTACTATCCCAGTTTCTCTATTTTTATAGTGATTTGAAGAGATTCAAAACTATAGCAAAAGTCAGAACCTGCACTAACTTAAGATCCTGTGAATTTGTTTCTTTGGGTTTTGTGTTTGGTTTGGTTATTTGCTGTTGTTTGTTTGTTTGTTTGTTTGTTTGGGGGGTTGTTTTGTTTTAAGTATTTTGAGACAGAATCTTCCTGCACAGTCCTGGTTGTCCTGGAACTCATTATGTAGACCAGGCTGGCCGTGAACTCAGAGAGGTCACCTGCCTCTGCCTCCCAGAGCTGAGATTAAAGGCATGTGCCACCGTGCCCCACTTTCCTGTGAATGTCTCAATGTCTGTATTCTGACCAACTAGTGACCACTGCCTGGGCTTAAAACTGCCAAGCAGGAGCCGAGGACACAGCTCAGCTGGTGAAGAATTTGCTGTAAGAAGCATGAGGACCTGAGTTTGGATTTCCAAGATCCACATCAAAAGCCAGGTGAGGCAGCACATGCCTCTACCCCTGTACTGGGAGGCAGAGATGGGAGGTCCCGTGGGCTGCCTGGCTGTCCAGTCTAGCTGAATCTGGGAGTTCTAGGCTCAGTGAGACCCCATTTCTAAGACTACTGTGGAAAGCAATAGAGGAAGACATTGGACATTAACCTCTGGCCTTCATTAACCACAACAACATATATCTATATACACACACACACATAACACACACAAAATACAAATTGCCACAAAGCTGCTCCTATCCTGAGTGCTTCCTGAACCAGTACTAATCTGACCAGAAGCAAAGTGTCCCAACACAGAGAAAAGACACTTTATGCTGAGTCTCCAGGTCACTAGTAAACATTCAGCAGCTGAAAGCCCCAAAGCCACACCTGCCTCCAAATCACTTACATAAGCCAGATCTGGAATGATGAGAAACAACTGAAGGTTGTTGCTTGGCAGTTAGATCACGGAGGAGGGGAGGAGGGCTGTCTCCCAGGTGCAAGTATCACAAAAGCACCAGAGACTGAAAAGCAACACAGAAGCCAGTCCCTGGGGTGTTCAATACAGAAGCCCCGCGTATGCACCATTCCCAAATCTTCAGTACCTTGTCCATAAAACTTTACCAAGGAACAGAGCAGGCAAAACAGGAATGACACTGGGTTCCTTGGAGTTTATAATGTTCCTTGGAGTTTTAATGCTGTTTCTCCCCTCAGCATCTACCACTTATTTAAATTGGTTTTTTTGTTCTACAGTTTTCTCTCACCATCTTCCCTCCAGCCCTGGCACATCAGAGCTGTATCCCGGCCCTGTCTTTATGGAACTGTCTCACCTAGTTTAGGTCTCACAGGCTTAAAGCTAAGACAATACAGGGCAAACAGAAGGCTCCCGGCACCCGGCACCTGTCAATGTAGCTGGAGCCAATTAAGCCACACTGCTCTGAGGCTGCCTCTGGAAGCGACAGGCTTAACAGTGGAGCTGCCGTCACACTTGAGTTATGGTCTGTTTACACTTGAAATCAACTGTGATTCACAGTTCTCATTTCTACGGATAAGGAAGCTTTCAGGATATCAGGAGACAACAGACAGAGTCCTAAGGGTATGCTTCCTGCCTCCCAGAGGGATGACGGGTGAGAAGCACACCTCATCCCTTCTATTCTTTGGGGAGAAGCCTCACTTTATGGTACATATTAGAAATATGATCAAGCATGGGGAAGAGACAGTTAAGAAGTCATCTTCTGGGATCACAAATACATCCTGCTACTCGTTGGCACCCTGCCTACACTTTACTGACCTTGTTACAAAATGACCTGAGGAGATCTTGCTCCCACCAAAAGGCAGGTTGGAACCAAGCACTCTTAAGAAAACAAAGCCAACCATGCTGGGTAGCTCATGGGTACTCTAGGCTCTCCTAGGAAAACTTGTCCTTGCTAACACCTTAGCTCTAAATGGTAATATTGATTAACTCTTTTATTTTCCATTCCCTTAGTTAGACAAAATAATGGACACTGGCCCCCATGCTCTGATGAATGGCAAGTACATCTGTCTGTCAGTGCCACTCAAATTAAAGATCTGGTTTAATAGCGAGAGAGTTGTGGGATGATGACAAAGCAGGGAGCTCTGAGAGTCTGTCTTCTCCCCTACACAACACCTACACTGGCACAGTCATCCGATGCGGCCATTTTGGAACTACAGTGTCTATGGAAAGCTTGCAGCTTGAGAGGGCTTGACAGCAAATTGAAATTGACTTTAGTCAGTTTCAGCCTTTAGCCCTGTGGCAGTTACTTGGCCCCTCCCTTCCTCATCCACAAACGTCCCTCCCCACTGGCAGACAGCTGTGCATGGATGTTCCTGGAGAAAACTGCAGAGCTTGGAGAAGCTACAGTGAGCAAGACAGATCTTGGTTTAGATGAAGGGGTGTGCTCTGGTGTTTAATTGCTGCTTCTGGAAAAAAAAAAAAAATGCAGCAGTGGCCAGCTATGTCACACCTCCCAGAAAGCAAAAAGGCCTCCTCCCTCAAAGTAATTCCTAAGAGATTTAAAGGGCTAGTAATCTTTTTCCTTTCCTTCGTTTTCCTTTTTCCCTTTTGGAAACCATCCATTAAAAACTAAAACCCTGAGGGAGAGGGTGGACTCTGGGAGAAGCACAGGCTAAATATGTATGATCAAAGACATGAATTTGCATGTATGAAATTTTCAAATAATAGAAATATGTTTTTCTCAAAAGCAGAAATTAGAAACAACAACAATATGAGGCAAATATGAAGGCAAAGTCATATGTCCAGGAAGAAGCCCAGGTTCCTTCAAAACAGACTCAAGACTTTAAATTTTCATCACAAGGTGATTCCTGGCCTAAAGCCCAAAGCAAAGGTAAACAAAATCAGCAGTAAGAAAAGGAAGGAAGCCCCAAGGGGGAGGAGACCAAACTCAACTTCCAACAAAAAGGTCATAAGACATATACAAAGAAAATGGAAAGTGTGATACTTTCAAAGAAAAAAATACACAAAATTAACAAATCCAAACAAACTAACAAAAACCAACACAACACAAAACAAAAATGGATGGCAGATCTACAAGACGCCTTTAAAATGAACGCCTTAAGATGCTGAGAGGGAAATGTGTAGAAAGTGAAAAGCATGCTTGAACAAAATGCAAACGGCAACACAGAAAACCAGAGGAAACCAAAAACAAATTCTGGAAGTGAAAATTACAGAGACTTGACCAGTGTGATTTGATGCTGTATTTGAGCAAGCAGACATGGAAATAACAAAGAGGACGATGGAAATTACCGAGAAAAACCCACATGACACCTTCCAACAGATCGGATCATGCACTCTGATCCATTCCAGAAGATGGAAGCAGAGGAAATATCTGAAGAATGGTGTCTCGAAAATCCCCAAACTCAATGAAAGACATTAATAGAAGTCATTATAATCTAAGAAGTCAATGAATTGCAGTAGGGTAACTCAGAGACTCTAAGACACATTATTATCAGACTTTCCCAAGCTTATCTTTACAAAAGATAGCTGAATCAGTGGAAAGCTGACTTATGAGTAAGATTACCTGTACATTTCTCATGAGAAACTTGGAAGCCAGAAGGCAAGTAGGCCAGCATATCCTAAGTGCTAAAAGTAAAATGAGTCAACCATGAAACTGACATGCAGCAAAGCTGTTCTTCAAAAGTAAGGGAGAAATTACAGCATTTCCAGGTTTAAAGACAGACTAGACCTAACTCGCAAGAAATGCCTAAGGGATCCTGATGATAAAAGAACAAGACAGCAAATGGATGCCCCATGAAAGACTGATGAACTCGGTGAAGTACACAGGCAACTGTGAAAGCTGGGTCACTCTAACAATGGTTTGACTTCATTTTTTTCTACATTAATCTTTTTTTTTTAATCAGTCTGATAAAGGAACTCAGGCGGTGGCAGCATGCACAATGCCTGAACAGGTTCAAGCCAGATAAGGTCCCAGAACCAAGAGGAGGAAGAATGGTGGGCTTATACACATACACACACACACCAACAAGAAAGTTATCTGTAATTGATGCCAAGCTGGGAAAGGAAAAATCAGCTTTCTCTAGCTGAGTCTCAAGTATAGTGACCACACTTCAGGGCAGGTCACATGCCCAAGAGTCACTGGCCAACACAAAATGAACTCACTGGTGTTCTGCAGACTTTCTGTGTCATTTTGCTTTGTCTGCAGCATTTCCTGATTATCCGGTCTTTGTTTAATTTCCATCTTTGGGGGGGCTGGGGCAGGGTTGTGCTGTGTGTGTGTTTCTCGGCCAGCAGCCATGGAGACCCCTTGCCTAACTTAGACGAAGACAGCACCTTGGGGAAAGAGACGGCCAAACACAAAGCAGAGTTTTGATGTTTTTATTCTCTGATGGGAGGAGGGTCCCATGAGCATCAAGGTGACCGTGACTGATGGACTAGCACCTGGAACGAGACCATCATGGAGCAGTCAGTGTTCGTCACTGGCAGAGGGCTCAGGGTGTCGCCCCTTGTCAAGTCTTCAGCTTTGTGGGGACCCTCCTTCTGGTGTAGCTATTAATCTTGGCTCATTCTCAACAATTAAAAATTCATAAAAGACTGTTTGCAAGAAAATATCAAAGTGGATAAGAAGAGTTTCAGTTCTTCTTAGTGTCTAAAATTAAAAAGGGGAATTGGGAGGAAGAGAAAAGAGAAAGAAGTCAGGGATCTGCCGGGCTTCCTCCTTCCCCAGAGCATCCTTAAAACAAGTGCAGGATGGTATCAGTGCTGCTTGCAGATAGGCTCTGTCTCCCTGAGGAGCCACTCGAGAGCTTCCTGGCGGCCCTGTGTCTGCAGTTCCTTCCCAATCACATCCCTGCAGGTCTGGTGGTAGCTGTTGAGCCAGTCGCACTACAGGGAAAGAAAGGACACCATATGGTTTCAGGAAAGCTACACGGGCCAACAGCAAGGAGCCCAGATGCTACAGTCACAGCTGAAAGGAAAGACACAAAATCTTGTCCTTTTGCTCCTAGATTCCCTGTCTGCTTCCCTGGGAACAGGCAGGCTGCATTGCTTCTGCTGAAATGATCCCTGAAGAGCGCAGCATGCCAACCTGAACTAGCAATGACTGTTAGGGAACCAAACATGAATGTGGTAGCAAGCCCAGCCACTGGGCTTCCCTGAGTGCTGGGCTCCTCCTCAGGATGCCTGGAAGCCACACCCACTGATAATTATAAGGCATGAGATCACTAAGCTGAAAGCTTCTTCCAGGCCATGTGAACTCATTCCCTAAACCCTGAACTCCCTTAGGACAGTGCCAACCTAACCAAAGCGTGAGAGCTTTAAGGTCATCTGCTGAGACCTGACACTCTTCAGCTTCCTGTTCTATGACCACTAAAGCTGAATAAATGACACTGCACCAAGCCCGGGTGGCTCTGGTCTGCACTGTTGTATAGAGGATCCAAAAGCTTTGATGGTCAAGGACTATGGTCTTTTGGGGCAAGGCTGGAGGAAACAAGCTTGACTTTCAGCCCCTTGTAGAATATGCCGCCACATCCAATTAAAAAAAAAAGGATTCCAGAGTAGATGCTGACAGGACTTGGTGTCTGGGAACCGATAACACCAGACCTGATATTAAGGGGCCTATGACAGGCACAAAGGGGCACCCTCCCTTTGGGAGTGGTGGGAAAAGGAAATGAGGTGATGTGAGGACAATGTCCACAGGGTGGATAGGACCACACTCCTAACTGGACCAAGGCTGAGGAGACTGCCACTGCCTTTGCTCTGGCTGTAGCACAGGGAGGCTGTGTTATTTCAAAGGAGTAGTCTGCAACAGGAACCAAAGCTCACCTGAGAGACCAAGAAGGGCATATAAACCAAAGGCAGATGATGGGGTATTGTCAACAGGCTCTGACAGAGCCAAGACCCCAATGCCCACTGGAAAAAGCAAATTAGCCCTGCTACAAAATGGGGAAGTGACAGCTGAGGTAGTGTCAAAGCTAGTGAGGAGCTGTGTGTCTGTGTTAGCAGCAAAACCACATAGAGCTGTAAGGCTGCCAGCAGTGGAAAGAGCTCAGCAGCGAAGGTGGTGGCCTGTTGTAACCCTGGGGCCAAGGGGACATTCCCAAAGCCCTTCTGGTTGAGATGAGAGAGGATAGTGTAAACTGACTAAACACAGCTGAGGCAATACCCCCTGGCCCTGATGGCACCTCAGACTGTGATCCTCTGCTGCCATCTGGTGACAAAAGGTGGACTCACCCCAAACAGCCCCTAAAGGGACTGTCAAGAACAGACTGATGTGAAAGTACAATCAGCAGGTATTTATGAAGTACAGTGTTGTGTGCTTTACCGTTCCTTCAGAAAACTATGTGTCCTGGCCTATGAGGTGCTATATAAGGGACCTTTGCTAAAACACTGAGACAGTACTTTCTGGTATGTCACACAGTCTCCTACTGTCCACGGAAACTTGCCTACGACCCAAAGAAAGAGCAGTTGTCCCAAATAACTCTTCAGTGACTTGGCCTAGCAAGGTGTCGTCATAGCTACTGAACATGGCAGACCCCTGTGGCTGTGTCCAGTGTCACAGGCTAAGTTGTGAACGTTGTTAGCAAAACACTTCAAGAAAAAAACAGCCCTGCTTAATTTCACCTCGTGCACTGCCCTCCCTGAATAAAGTGGAGCATCACCTGGGAAAACTCCTCCTGATTCATTTGCAGGCAGGGTGACTGTAACCTACTCACTGGTCAAAAACTATAGCTTTTGGCTTCAGAGCCCCTTGATAAGGACCTGGTGTGTAGGCAAAGGGTGCTACAAGAGGCAGAGGTCCCTATGGGACACACGGCTTCCAGGCAATCTGGTATGTGCAGTGGCCAAGAGGCCGCACCAGCCTGGCTTCTTGTAAGAAAGACAAGTGGATCCATGTATGCTAAGGAGGCCTAGTACATTTCAGTTCTGCGATGCAGCCCACAGGCTTCTGCTTTGAGCGTTTCTCCCCAGTAGGTGGTGCTCCTTTCAGAGGCTTCAGAACCTTTCGGTGGGGTCTACTAACTGGCAGGAGTGGATCTAAGGGCAGGTCTTCAAAGGTCATGGACTGGTGCCTGATTCTAGTCTCTCTCACTGCTTCCTGGTGCACTGTGACCTGAAAACCTCTGCCACACACTCCAGCCGTCATGAACTCTGCTTCACACTCCTCACGCTCATGGAGCTGTTGTTCCTCCATGCCCTCCCCACAAGAATGGTGTGAATCTGAAACTGAGTGAAAGCAAACCTTCCCCACACGCTGTTTCTGTCAGCTCTTGCGGACACAAAAGTAACTGATACATTTTCTCAGTGCACACTGTTTCTCTCGAAAAGCAATGGCCTACTGCGTGTACCCTACAGCCTACAGAACTGTGCTAGCTCTGCTGCATGTACCCTACAGCTTACAGAACTGTGCTAGCTCTGCTAAGGCCCAGCACACATAAGAACAGCTACTGGTCCCACAAGAGACTTCAGACCTCTAAATGGAATGTGGGAATGGAACAGGGAATAGTCTCCACCCCTATTAACATTCCTCCAGACTTCTACCCCATGACTCCCTGTTACCTCTTTATCCGTAAGAGAATCCACATCTATCATTTTGGTTTGGATGGGAACCAAAGTTAGAGGTTCAAAGGTGAGGCTTCCTCGGTTATTGAAGTTATACTGCAGAAGAGAGGAAACAGCAGATTACAGAGAGTGGCTGCCATTCCTCCCCAAGCCTGGCACCCCTCAGGGCGCTGAGCAGCAGCCACCAGGTATCGTCTTCGGACGAGGAGCACAACGCAGCAGACACCATTTCCCAAGCATTGCTGAGGGCACACCGAGTTAGCAGAAATGAGCAAACGGTGGTGCTCAGCATGCCCACTGTCAGCTCCACAAAGCTAATGTTTGCTGTGACTGAGAGGTGGGGATAGGACTTGAGGGCGTCTGGACTTGGGGACTGTCTGGTTTGGATCCTAAGATTCTACAGGGGTAGAAACCATCCCAATCTATTAGCCACGTGGCCTATGTGGTCCTGTTTACTAGGCTTTTTTTTTTTTTCCAGTTCTGTGTATGTGTAGGAGGACAATCCTCCCCCATGTGGGTCCCAGGGATCACACTCAGGCGCCTCTACCCACCCAGCTCAAATCTGGATATTTTAATTATTTTATTTTTATTTTATGTAAACTGGTGTTTTCTCAGGTGCCCTGGAAGTGGGGTTACAGACAGGTGTGAGCTGCCATATGGGTGCTGGGAACAGAACTCAGTAGTCTGGAAAAGCAGGGCTGTTTCTTTCTTTTTCTTTCTTTCTTTCCTTCTTTTTTTTTTTTTTTTTTTTTTTTTTTTTTTTTTTTTTTTTTTTTTTTTGATAGTGCTGTAGATGGAACTTGGGCCCTGGCCTGCGTCTAGCCAGGACTCTACCACTGAGCTATATCCTCTGTCTCTTTACGGTTTTACATAGGGAAGAAGCGTACAGTAAAATTCTTGTATGAGGGGAAGGAATCCCCATTTTGGCCCCACTATGGCACATTTTTGGCTCCAAAGACAGAATATCCATCCCCCGCCCCCCCACACACATACAGACACACAGTAAGAGAAGGAAACTTGTAAGAAAATACAAGAACACGTACCTTGGTCTTCGCAGGGACCACCAGAACAACATTCTCAATGCGGATCCCAAAAGCCCCATCTTCGTAATACCCTGGCTCTAGAACAAGGAACTCCAAATTAGAGGCAGCCTACAAGGAAGCCTCCACCAATGATGCCTCCAGCCAGGTCGGCCACTCACGCCAAAAAACAGAAGGGCTGCTTTATCCATCTTCTCCCACTTAGCCCCAGTCTTAAAGGCATTTGAGGTATAAGACAGGCTCTAAGGTTCCGAAAACAGACCACCAGGCAGAGTACAGTGACGGGTATCTGCCGCACAAGCCACACTATGTATCCACAGGACACAGTGAGGCAGCACTGAGGCCTATTCACAAACACTGAGCAATATAAGGTAACAGAACACAGCGTGGCCAGCATGATCTGTAGACAAACAAAATGTCTACACATATGAAAAACTACTTTTTACATTTTTATCCATATATTACTTGTTTTAAAATGAGCCCAAATCACTCTGATAATTGAAAAAGGTTGTTGTCAATTCAAGATGACAGGAGAAGGAACTTATTATCGATTTCCTTTAAAATAACTGAAAAATAAGAAACTACAAAGAACTACCCTCTGCATGACGGATACCTACCATCAGTGACGATCATGCCAGCTTCCAAGGGCTCATCAGAGAATGTTTTATAACTGATGCCACAAGGACCCTCGTGAACATTCAAAAAAGACCCAACGCCATGTCCTGTTCCATGCAGGTAATCTAGGCCAGAATCCCACAAAGCTGACCGTGCAAAGGAGTCTAGAAGGTGGCCTGAAAATCAAACGGACACTTGGTATTCAAACAGCGCTTTAGAGATTAGATGTATTATGTTTGGCTTCAGAAGGCGAAACAAAGCAAAAGGTAAATGTTACCAAAGAGTTGAGATTTAAGTTCAGTACAAGGAAGAACTTTCTAACAACAGAAAATATGAGAAGACAGTCAGAGCTCAGTCTAAAGCCAGGGGATCATTTTCAGCAGCAGCTTAGGGGACAGACATCTATTTACAGATTAAGGCTGCAAAATAAGACATTCCCTTCCCAGATCTGGGACCCTAAGGTTTCAGAATTACAAGCATGAGATTCTCACCAGACTACAAGCAGACTGGTAGGCATGAAAGATAAAAAGACCAAGTCTAAGGGAGCTGAACACATGCCCATCTGCCAGAGTCGAGGCCTAAGTCTGCAACCTGTAATCTAATGCTTCATCCAATGCTCAGAGCAGAATATATCCCAAGTTAGTATCCCAGAAACAAAATCCAACAGTGGTCATCAAAGGTGCTGGCCCTATGCTGAAGACACACAGGAGGCTACCCTAACTTCCATTCCAGCCCTGAGGCTTTTGTGCCCAATTTGCCCCAACATGTGTCAACCACTTCTGTCAGTGGTCAGAACTGACACTGGAAACCAACCTAAGCCTGGCTCTTGGTTACATGGGAGCTACATCTGGGTAGAGGGGTCTCACTCCATGGAGTATCCTGTATATCCTAGCTGGGCCAGAACTGAACCAAGACTAACAAAACAAAATGGAGGATACATTTTTTTTCTACCCACACTTAAGACATGCTTGCGCTCTGAGCCTTGAGCCTGCCACATGACAGAATAAACCACCTACCTTTGGTTCCTGTTGGGAAAACAGCTGCACTCACAGCTATGTGGCCTTTGAGGACATATGTGAAGCATTCCTGCCAAAGAAAACCCAGAAGGTGGCTGCAGGAGACAGGTATTTTAACCCTACACAGTGTTCTAAGCACTTCAGAACAGCCTGCCTATTAAAGTATCTAATAATATTGTAGAGAATGTCAGTGAAGTATAAACACAAAATAAAACAAAAAAAAATACCTTCACAGCCTAGCCACGTATCAACTGCCAAGGAAATCTGGAACTTAAACTTAAAGCAATAGCAGAAAGGTGACCCACCAGGCCTTCCCTTGAAGCTTCTGCCACAGGCTGTTAGAAAGATGGGAGACCAGGAAACACAACACACCCTGTATCAACCTTCACGACAAGGGCACTTGAGCACCACGCCAGCCACTGGTAGCAGATCTGGCCTGGCAGCCGGGCCTAAGCATCTGGTGTCCTTACCACCATGCTGTCCTCAGGGTCAGCTTACTACCCAGACAAGGCCAAGAGCTTGCCAGAGGGCCAGGGAAGGACCGATACCCAAGACTCCTCCATCCGATCGCAGCAAATGGATCCTGCACCCAAGGCCCAAAACCGTCGAGGTAGGAGTGGCAAAGTCAAGCCGCAGGACCAAGAAAGGTACTAGCACATCTTGTAAAACCCTCTCCCTCAGACACACAGAACACTCAGAGCCTCAGCCTGTGCCAGCTGAGCAGAATGATATCAAGGTTTCCAGCTTATAGCCTCATGGGGCCAGGGAGGTGGCCACTGCTGTGCCCATGTCTACACATAACAGCTTGTTCAAGGCCAGAGTCAGCAACAGCAGGGATCTAGGCAGGGTTCCAGACCCCTAGAAGATATCTCTCTACCTCACAACTCTTTGCTACCTTTCTAACAGGTCAAAGCAGAAACTGAACAATGTCTATCATTCCACAAAGTCCATTGAGAGGGGAGCTGTAAAAAGGAATGCTGACCTTGAAAAATAGGAGGGTAGCTCTCAGAATCCAATCTAGACACTGCTGATAACGCATACATTTGACTACCCTCTCCCCCTGCAAGAGTAGGCCAAAGCTATTTGAAGTTGAACTTGAGCTGCTCTGACCTTAACAGCATGCTTTTAAATTTTCTCCAAATGTCTTACCCTCCAATAATTAATTATACAGATCTCATAAAACCGATAAGCCTGACTCCACAAAAATGAGTGTTTTACTACCCTGCTTATAATTTGTATTTATTTATGCAATCCCTTGATAAAAGCAATGGTCTTTCTAAGAAGGCAGACAGGGCCTCAGACTCTGCTTCACATTACCTTCTCATAGGCCGTAGGGGTCCCAAAGTGCATGGTCCGGGTGACATCTGTGGTTCCGTCCCTTCCAAAGGTAGAGAAAACAAACAGTAACCTTTTCTCAGCCATGAAACAGGGTACCTGGAGAAAACTATACACAGAGCCTGCTGGGAACAGCACAGGAGAACAGCTTTCCCTAGACGGTTACATAGCTACCATAGGAGCCGGAGCCCAACTCCTAGACACGTCCAAGAAAACTGAAGAGGTGTGTCTGACCAAATACTCATACATGAATTAACTGTGGCATGACTGTACAAACTGATTTTCTACTTCGAGTGGGTAAATTATAACTCAATAAACTTGTTATGAAAAATAATGCAAGGTTTAAATGCAAAATTGGCTTGATAGAACAGGAATGGATTCAGCCCTAACATACACTACCCTTGTCCATATAGTGAGGGCTATGCCATGAGGCAGCTGTCACTGGGTTACGACTAAGAAGACCAAGTATACAGAGGCCTGTAGTGAGCAGCTGTAGCAAGAAAACCAAAATCCTCCTCTTGCTGCTGGAAAACAAAGGGATTATTGAACACAGACCCTAAAACTACCCAGAGGTACCTCTCAACACACACCAGTTCACACCAAATATAACTTTCAGAGCCTTCCTATGAAATTCAGAAGAGACAGAAATTTATACTGTGGCCAAGTGATCCACACATCCTGAGGCCAGGCTGTGTCACCGGTAACCAGCTGAGCTCCTGGAACAGGCTCCCACTGCGGGGATGGGGGCTGGTACACAGTGCACAGCATCTACTCTGGCTCCTTCTCAAGGTTCAGCAATGAGAGCCAGGCAAATTTCAGTCTTTCTCCTGAGAAAAAAATGTAGACGTGGAAAGCTGTAAAAGTGGCAACACAGGCTCAGGAAAGGGGAGGCAAAGGCTGGTCCTCATTTCAGACCATACATTCAAAATTAACCTTTCATCCTCAGGCCCCAAGGCCAGAAAGCTTTCTGAGATGGAGCAGAAAGTTCCAGAGGGTTCCCAAAGCTCACTTTCCTTCAGTTGCTTATTTCATACTTTACCAGGACTACACAACTCCATCATCCCTCATACGAACAGTCACAACTGGGCTTTTCCAATGAGATGTCAAAAAGCAGACAAGACAGAAACCATCCAGCCAGCAAGGGATGGGTTAGCAGCCGGGCGCACTCAGCTAGAGCAGTTTGTTCTCCTCTTGGACCTTGGGCCTTGAGCTCAGTCTCAAGCCCCGCAGCAGCCCTGGCTCACTTACTTGTACTGAGCGCCCGAGTCAATGAGGTACACCTCATCCAGGGACAGGGTCCTGTTTGTCTCGGGGACCGGCCTGCCAAAAAAAATAAAAACAGTTATTCCAAACATATAATCAGTTGGCAAAGCTGAATACTGTATACTATTTTTTTTTTCTGTTTTTGTTTTGGTGTTTCAAGACATGATTCCTTTGTGTAGACCTATCTGACCTAGAACTTGCTTTGCAGGCCAGGCCAGACCCAAACTCAGAGGTTCAACTGTCTCTGCCTCCCAAAATGCACCACTATATCCAGCCCTGTGTATTATTCCTAAGACATATTTGTCTGAAATTATTATGGAAAGAAAAATTAGCCAATAAGCTATAAGCATTGCCCTCACACTATTCAAAGACTCTACAACCTAGCTTCCCAACTAAGACACGGGAACAGGAGTAACTGCGCATCTAGAACAGAGTGTTTAAGAGATGACTGCAAAAGCAACAAAATTAAGAATCAACAGAGACCAAAGTGGCTGTAATTCTCAGGAGGCTGAAACAGGAGGATTACAAGCTACACAGTAAAACCCTATCTCAAACAACAGACAGACAACATTAAAAACCTGACAGAAGCATCAGTCTAAGCTTGGGTTCCAGGGACAGGATGCAAACAGCCAAAGTCTCCCTGGTCTCAGGGTTGCAAACATCTATCTCTATCCAAGCATCTATCTCTGTGCTAAGAGACCCTGCCTTCTTTCCCCTGCAGGATGGGACAACTTCTTCTGGGTGGAGCACTCTTCAAAGAACAGGAGGCTCTTTGTGAAAAGTGACCCACCTTCCCCATTCTAGATCCTAGACAGTACAACTGTGCTGGAAATGCCCAAAGGGATGATAGCATTCTAAGTTCACACTCTGCGGGGATCAATCCCTCTCCAGCAATATCGAGACTCTCAGATACTGGCCAGGTCTCTAAGCAGGCTTCTGACAGTCTCCAAAACAAAACATCAAAAGAGGAACAAAGGGCTTTGAAATCTTTATTGCTCTAATCATATGAAAAAATCCACCATGAAATCTATCATGTGAGTGAGAGTGAAATCCCTTTGGTGTCTGTACATTGGGCAGGAGTCAGGGAGTGGGACCGGCACATCTGTGACTATGGCCCACACAGCTCTGAATCTGCCCCAGGCTAACAGTTCTAAAAGCAATTATTTACTAGGGAGAAAACCTATCCCAACTGTAGCCTAAAGAGACAGACTGAGTGCCCTTTCCTTTACTGCACATGGAAGACAGAGACGCACAAGTACAAAATGTCCTAAACAGCACAGATGCTGAGCTAGGTGAGCTGATGCCTGACCTAACTACATCTCCTACTCCCCACCATCTCTCTACCCACAAGAAGCTGCCCGAACTAGCAGTACACTTTTTGGATGTTGGCATTGGTGCTCACACTAGCCAGACCAGGACATCGAGAAGTCTGCTGCTACAAGAAAAGAAAGCACTCCAGAATTCTAGTCAAGATACAAGGATTCTGAGTGTCTGAGCCTCAGAAAGTAAATATGGCCAGGTGTGGCAGCTCATCCCTGTAATCCAGGATGAGGCAGGAGGATCACCATGAGGCTGGTGCTAGCCTAGGCTATGTAGTAAGTTCTGGACCAGTCTGAGCTACAGAATGAGAATATATCTCAAAAAAACTATTAATAATAACCACAACAAACAAGAGAAAACGTCTAAAAGGCAGAGGCCTGAGGATTCAGAGGAAATGAGGCCTCTGGGATCTTAAGCCCCTACTTCAGTCTCCAGACACACAGGGGTGGGCAGGAGGCCTCTGGGAAACTGTGTCTCCCTTCAGGCTCCTGTGCAGAAGCGGGTGCAGAGCCCGGCCCATGCTCCTCTGTCCGCATGCCTTACGCGTAGTGAATGATGGCGCCGTTGGGTCCGGTACTGGAAATTGTTGGGAAGCTCAGGTCCACAAAGTCAGCCTGTTGCCTGGAAGAGACGAGCAGAGTCACTGGAAGGTTTTCGCTGAGCTGGGAATCAGGGCCCTCCTAGCCCACTCAGCTCACCAAGAAATCGGCACAAGGTTCCCAGCTCTCCTCAACAAACACTTACCTTCGAAATTCCTCGGCTTTGTCAGCAGCTGAGATCTCTGTTACACCACCTTTGGGAACCTATAACCAAAAAGGGCCTGTACATCATCAGCTCTTTACATGTGCTTCAGACATATTTAGGGGAGTGCATTAGACACATGACTTGTCCTCAATTCCCACACCCCAAAGGCCCACTTTGCAGGGTGCATTGTATCTCCTCTTTAATAGGGAGGGAACTTTGGCAGGCTTTCAACACAGCTATCTAAAGTAGAAGGACTATTTTCACTGGACTATTTTGTCACAGCACTATGTCCCCAAACCTTCTAAAATGTAGTGCATCTAAATTTAAAATTTCAAAAGCATCTCCTACTAAGCAACCTAAAGCCAATTACCCCGGAGGAACAAAAAGGGTAAGTGCAAAGCTATTATAGGGCTGTAACAGTGGGGAAAGAAAGACAAGGAAATCAATCAAAAACAGGGAGAATATGTAAGACAATCTGGCCATTGGATGCAGTGCAGTCACCAAAGCACATGGTCAGTGTCCACACTACCTCAGCCTAAGAATAAAACACAACACAAAAGCCTATCTGTATACCACAAGGAAAACAAGAACAGTTTACAAAGATGAACAGCTGCAAGTATGGAGAAAAAATGGTCATACTAGAAGACATGAGTATAATCCCTTTTCCAATTGTTGTTTCTAGTTCTTTAAAGGGAGAGTGATTCTATTTAATAGCAGCACAAAGAAACTAACTTCTTGTCAACTCCAGGTAGGGATAGGCAAGAAATTAATGGCCAAGAGCCAGTTTAATATAAAGTTTCAAGGCTTAAAGTGCAAAAAACACACACGAAGATAGCTTCCTCCCCATGTACCCAGGTGGCCTGCAGCTCAGGAAAGGCCACTTCTTCTCCTGGCATTCCACTTCAATATCACTCTCTACCACAGAGAAGCTACCGTGATGGAATTTCTTTCTTCCTCACAGATTTATTAATGCGTGTATGCACAAAGTTATAGAACACAGTGCCACAGAGAACACCAAAATCCAACTAAAGCTTTAGGCTACAAAAGCGCAGGGGGCCAGCTGTATCAGGGAGTGGTGATAGCTCAGGGTCTTCCTCAGTCGCATAGTCTATGAGGATAACAACCAACCTCTTTCTCCAGCCAGCTGAAGAGCTCACAGAGGGCAACAGCATCTTTAATCTGCACAAACAGAGTCAGGTGGTCAGCTTCAGATCCCAGTTCTGTGGCCACAACCACCAGCAGCACTCAGCTTCTGTGTAGCACTTCCCATTGCTGGGAGCGAAGAAGGCTGCCCAGCTATTCATCAACTGAGGCACAGTCAGGGGCCCTTCAACACCTGAGCACACTGGCAGCTCCTCTCGCCAGTGAATTCCCACCCAAATACGCCAGGAACAACGGGCTATAGTCAGCTTCTGTCAACCTCAGATCTTGCTGGCCTCACCTTCTGCCTTAAAGCACAATCTGTTTCTTACACTATCATCATCAATGCGTGTGTGTGTGTGTGTGTGTGTGTGTGTGTGTGTGTATGCGAGACATTTGTGGTTGCTTTGCTTACGTGGGTGGCTATGCACCATGTGTGCCTAATGCCCACGGAGATGAGAAGACACTAGAATTAGACAGTTGAGAGATGGTATGTAGGTATGTAGGTACTGGGTCCTCAGAAGAGCAGCAAGTGCTCATAAACCACTGAGCCATCTCTTCAGCCCCCTTTCATTGTATTTGTGTTATCATTCACAAAAATTTGACACATCCAATTTTACTGTCTTTCTTCTTTGAGACAGGTCCCACTATATACCTGAAATTAGCCTCCAATTCACAATCCCCCTGGTCCCAGCCTCACAAGCAGCTGAGATTGCAGGCCTGCATAACAGTTAACTGCCCCACATAACAGTGACATCATTCTCCCACTGACTCTGGAAAACCCGAAGGGCTTAGGCTCAGTGAGATTCTCAACTTGTGCCAGGCCCAGGGCTACACATATGAGGACAGAGCTGGACCCTCCCGACCACCTCCCATCCTATTTCGTACACCAACTGCTCTACTCACATGAGCCCGCCTCATGCCTTCCGACTCAGCTGAGTTCTTCACGGCTTTGGCAATGCAGATGGGTGTATAAGGCATACAGCAGCGATGATCCTGGGGCAAGTCACAGGAAGATGAGAAACATCCTGATGAATGGCTTGAAAAACACATACTCTGGGGCATTATTTGAAGAGTTCCCAGGAAGGACCCAAGAGCTGTCCCCTGGAGCCTGGAGTTCTGTCATTTCGGATGATGCCCAGAGCATGTTCAACATAGCTTGAGCTCACCCAAAATAAGATAAATACATCAAATGAGGCATCCTCCTCTAGGCCTCGCTCTTTGACGCTGCCCGTCTGTCACAGCAGAGGATTGCGTTCCAATCCTTGCAGCTCTGGCTGGGGTTCACTACCCTCTTAGAGTTAACTAAAACAACTTTCTTGCTGCAAAAAGGAACCTCATCTCCCATGAGAGGGGGCAGGTGACCTGCGAAAGGACTCCTGCTTTCTCCCCACTTCTCCCTGTGAGCACCTTCAGCTGCTGCCTCATCTTAGAGACTGAAGGGGTTTCTGACTGCAGTCAGAGCCCAGCCCTGTGTGACTGGGAAAGGGTTCCACACACCTGAAGCTTCTCCAACTGTGCACATTTTCTCTGCTCCCCCCACCACGCTCCTCATACACACCCCTCACATAACAAGAAAAAATAGGAGTGCTCTGAGTAGTTGAGCTGTAGGGCAGAGACAGTGTCTCTGTGGCAGGGTTGCTGATGAGCCGGGTCTGGGCTCCTGCCTAGAGAGTCCACTGCTGAGCTTGACAAAGACTACTTGCCAACCCAGGGTCTGGGGCTCAACAGCAGAAAACCCCTCTGAAGGGGTCTGGGCTCCAGTCCTGCCATAGATTCTAACTGAAGTTCAACAACTGGCGTTGGTTGCTTGCCCTGGCCCAGCAAGGAACCTTGAAGGGCAAGGCTGTCACTACCATGTGACCTTAAGACAAATCCTCCACTCCCTGGCCTCTCTGGGCCTCAAATCTCCGTCTCTCAAATGTAGAGAAAGAGATCGGATGCGTGCTGGAAAATGTATCTCAAAATGCAGGTTCCTGTGTGCCTTCACCCTGGCTGCTTAGCCCCTGCATGAGCCTTACTCCTTCTGCACTTTATCTGAAAGAACTTTCACAGCAGCACTGTCTCAGACACTACTGAGAGCTTTTTTCTCAGTCACACTAACTGCTGTTAAAACATATATTTAAATAAGGCAAAGTACTGCTGTGCGCTGCCTAAGATCATCTTTCACGCCCCACCCTGGAAGACAGGGACCTGAGGAGTTTAAAGAGCCTGAGATATTCCACTCTAGGCTCCTCCTCTGGGCTCATTCAGAGACCACAGCTCGGAGCTATGCCTGTATGACGTCAGCTCTGTGTGATGTCAGCACCACAAGGGCGCAGGCACGTTCAGACACTCACCTTGGGGATAGCCTCGCTCACAGCATAGCTAGCTTTGTCGCTGGCCCACACCTTCTCCCTCGGGGAGAGGTCAGCACACAGGGTCTTGAGCTCGCTCAGGATGGACTCATATGGAAGCACCTGGATTTTATACTCTGCCTCCAGGCCCAAGTCTAGGAGCAGGTGCTGCTTCACACTAGGCGCGTCGATGCGGTCCCCATCGATGAAGAGCCTGCAGGGGCCAGGGCGGACCACGGAAAAGGAGGGCCCATGCGTGAGAACACACACCGGGCTCACATCTTCTGGCTCTCAAAACCAAGCAGCTTTTCCTCTTTCCCCACCGCCTGCCCAAACCCTGCCCTCCCGACTGCATTTCCTGACCCTGCAAATGCTGTCACCATCCATTCACTTCTCTAGGTCAGAAACTGGCACATTGTCTCTGGTGTCCCCACCCCCACCCCCACTTAACAGTCTGAGACCTGCAGTCCCATCTCCATCACATCTGCCCAGCTGTCTGCAGCTTACCCATCACCCCCCAGACACCACCTCTTGGCCTCCAAATTCCTTCCTCCTTATTTTCAGTCACCACCTTTTTTATGATTTAGTTTAATGACTGTGTGGTCCCTTCTGAACAGGTCAATGAGTAACTTCCCATTGTCCTAGTTTGCCCTGTGCACCTTTCATTCTGCTTCCCGCTCACCCTCGGGCCCCACGCACTGCGCATTTCCCACGGCCTCTGAACATGCCACTCCCTCTGTGTGCACGGCGTTGTCCACCCCTCCTTGTCCCACCCCCACTCACCGTCCTTCATTTTTATTCAATTTCATTTTTCTCCAACTATCTCCTCTTACAAGTCTAGGCTAGCTCTTCCTGTGCACATATATCCACGCCTAATAGGCTTATGTGCCTACTTATATGCCTGAATCCTTCAGAGAAAGGAGCGCTCAGCTTCTCAACTACAGCCCAGGACCCTGCCATTCACACTAGCACTAATACCCACCTCTAACACAGTTTGCACTTAACAAATGGGACATGAAACATGAGCAAAGTACAATGAAAAATATGTATAAAAATGTTACCATGAAACCCACTATTTTAGATGTTAAGTAAAAAAGAAAGTAAGTATGGTTTTGTTGCTGCTGCCAACTGGTTAACTGGTTCATTGGTTTTTTGGTTTGGTTTGGTTTGGTTTGGTTTTGGGGGGGTTGGGAGTTGGGTTGGGTTGTTTTGGGGGGGTGTTTTGTTTTCTTTTGTTTTTTGAGGTAGGGTCTCCCTTTGTAACATTGTCTGTCCTGGAACTATATAGACCATGTTGACCTCAAACTCACAGAGATCTGAGTGCCTCCCAAGAACTGGACTAAAAGATGTGTGCCAGCTTGTCTGGCCCCTGTCCTAATTAGTTTTAACTGTCAAACGCAGACTACCACCATCTGAGAAGTGTATCTGAGCTGAGGGACTATGCAAAAAGATTGGCCAGTAGGCAAGTCCCTTAGGGGGTTGTGTTGGTTTTCAGTTGATACAGGAGGGCCCAGCCCACTGCAGGTGGCTCTATTCCCTAGGCAGGTGGTCCTGTGCTGCATAAGAAAGCCAGGGAAGCAAGAGCCTGCTTCCAGCTCCTGTCTGAGTTTCCACCTGGTTCCCCTCGTAATGGACTAAGGTTAGGAAGCGTAAGTCATTGTGTCACTTCTTCCTCTTAGTTTCTTTTAGTTGGAGTGTTTTATTTATCACAAGAGAAAAAACTGGAACCTCATGCAATAAAAAACAATGACAGGAAGCCTGTAAGCAATGCTCTGAAGTGATAAAATTGACAAATCAACAGAGCGAAGTGCAGGGGTTTCCCCTCTCACTGCTGACCTTTAAGATGACAGGGCCAGAACCACACATTGGAGCCTCTGCACTGCCTTCTAGAGAACCGGAAAGCAAATGCGTGGCCTGGGCATGATCTCACAGCAGGAACCTCATGAAGAACCTCATATCAGCTTTGTTCTGAAGGTCTCATCTACTTATTTCTATCATGTTACTATAAATACTTTTGAAGATTTCAAGACATTGAGAGGTTTAGAGGGGGTGCAAGATAAAAATAAACACCTGTTAAGGCAGGCAAGGACAAAGGGACAAAGAAGGAAGTTCCGGAGAGAGGAAGCACACTACCATTACGGTAGAGTGAGGACTAAAAAGGGGGCATGGGGCCCTTGGAGCTGAGCAGAGAGGGCGTGTAAATTGGAGTGAACACTTACATGATCGTCTCTAGTCCTATGATTGCATAGGAGAAAAACACCGGATTGTGCTCCACATCTGACCCTCGGAGATTGAACAGCCCTAAAAAGAAAAGCATTCTCTTAAAAATGGTTTCTGTCAGCTGCCTGGCTCCCAGATCAAGCTTAAAAGGTAGCTTTTGGGGGAGGGAAGAGTTTCTGCTTAGAACTAAGGTCCTATTCATGAAGATAACATAGAACTCCCACACAGATGTAGCCCATGGCAGTTCAGTGTCCAAGTGGGTTCCATAGTAATGGGAACAGGGACTGCCTCTGACTTGAACTGATTGGCCTGCTCTTTGATCACCTCCCCAAGTGGGGAGCAGCCTTACCAGGCCACAGAGGAAGACAATGCAGCCACTCCTGGTGAGACCTGATAGACTAGGATCAGAAGGAAGGAGAGGAAGACCTCCCCTATCAGTGGACTTGGGGAGGGGCATGGGTGGAGAGGGGGAGGGCAGGGTTGGGAGGGGAGGAGGGAGCCACAGGGGGATACAAAGTGAATAAACTGTAATTAATAAAAAAATAAAAATTAAGAAAAAGAACTAAGGTCCTATCAAAGGATTCCCCGTGTCTCAAGAAAGGTGAGGGACCTTCCGCAGGGTTACACAACTGAGCTGCAACTGCTGGCGTCCACCACCTGATGGCACCAGAACTGTTTCCCAGTTGGCCATGAAGCAAGTGGAGGAGGGAAGGGGTCAGTGTCCCCCAAAGAGTTGAAATAGCTATCCTAGTTGTGGGGACCTTCAAAGCTCAGCTCTGCTGCATACAAACCCCTAGCACCTCCTAGTATAAGGAGGATAGAAGCATTTTCTCTATTCCAAGGCAAATCACCTAGGACAGAAAAATTGAACTGGGGGGAGGAGCATAAGGACCCTGCTCAGCCCAGTGGACATAGAGCTTCTCATCAGAGGCAGAAAAAGAGCAGCAAGTCACGTGCCTGTGGCTCAGCACACTGGGCTGTTACAGGCTGTATGGAGGATCTGCCTCAAGCAAGGGCCAGAGTCTGATAAGGTCACCGAACATCTGAGAAGCATGATGATAAGCACACAGTACAGCTATGGTCCTGGCTGCCAGCTCTAAAGCTTGCTCTCAGAAAAATAAGAGAGCAAAATGGCCAAGTAAAAAAAGTCACTGCCTCTATTTTAAAATAATCGTTCCTCAAAGCAAAGTAGAAAGGTTTAACCTCTCATTCCGACTCCTTTTTATTTTTTTATTTTTGGAGACAAGGTCTTATTGAATAAGGTCTGGAACTTGCTATGTAAGCCACACTGGCCTCAAACTCACATGGAGATTCACCTGCCTCTGCCTCCCAAGTGCTGGGTTAAAGGAATGCACCCTCAGATCAGGCTTACCACCTCCTTTCGAAATGAAGGTACTTGAAAGCTGGTGAGGCATGACAGGATGGCTGGATCAAAAGTCCTACCACACACACCCACAAACTCACAAGACTAACCCCAAAGGCAAGCAGAAATAGGAAGAGAAAAATGATCATAAACTAAGAGATAAGTGTATGAGCCACTATCTTGATGGAAGGATCATATTAACTATGGAGAAACTGGAAGTAGCCCAAAGGCCATCCGTGTGGAAACTGTTAGGCAAACTGAAGGATAACCATTAGACAGAATTTTTAATGCTAAGTTATGTTTATATTTGCTCCCAGAACACTGACAGGTTTAGAAAACCAGGCGGATGACAGATACACAGAAATGTCAACAATGCTTGTTGCTAGGTAACAGGATTGTGGTTGATCTTGGGTTTTGGTTTGTTGTTTTTGTTGTTGTTGTTTTCTACTCCCTCTGCACTTCACAGGTTTTCCAAAATGGGAACATGTTGTCTTATATTCAAAGGGAGAAGCCACTTGTGTGTGTGTGTTTTTCCTCTGCTGCTGGGGTTAATTAGAGACAGCAGTCACTGCGGTCTGACAAAGTCTGGAAGACTGAAGAGGCAGGACATTACGGAGTGGGCTTTCTTCTTCCAGCAGGGAGGTAAAATGCAAAAGTAACTTCCCTAAATCAAATCCAGTCAGAACAAGACAGGAGGGAACACTTTGTAAGATTCATTCAGATTCTGGAAGATGACAGAAGACTGAACAACAGCATAGGGCATAAGTAGGGGGAGGTCAAAGGTTAAAGAAAAGGGCCTAAAGAAGTTTCAGTTCTTATGTTTCCTGAGATAAAAACTGTACCAGAATGTTCTGTGAAGATCTTAGAAAACTATGTAAGCATAAAGAAAGCGACACAGGAAACATTTAGGAGAAATATTCTTCCTCAGATAAGTCACAATTTTAAGAGATGGGCCAAAGGTAGCCATTACACATGGACTCACCATGAGCCCCTCGCTGTATAATCTTCTGGCAAGTCTATCATCCCCTACCCAGCTCATGGTAATGTTTTCTCCTTTGTGCTAACCGGCATTTGCTCTCTTATTTGGAGACACTGTCTGTTACAAATTCCCTCACCATTCAGAAAGCTGAATGGCTGGAACACACAGATTCACAGAGGCCCAAGGAGGAGATCAGGTAATGCCTGCACAGCGAAACCAGAGTACTCACACGCAATTTCATCGAGGGCAGTGACCACAAACCACACGATGCTCCTCTCTGCCATTTTCATCCGAAGGTCTGCAACCTTCTCCTTCCAGGAGATGCCTGCAGGAAGCAATAGGCTTCTGACTTCAGCTGTGATCCCATGACGTCAGGAGCCGAGTGAAAAGGCCTATGCCAAACGCTCTTACGCAGAAGCAGCTCTCACAGCAAGTGTGCAGCCTGCACAGGCAGGCAGCTGAGTCAAGCCCTACAAAAGAGGACTGGCTCTGCAAAGTCACTTGACTGTCACGAGTCCCAACTGCCTCACCAGTAAAATGTCTATCCACAAATGCCTACGAAGCATCTAGGCTTGCCAGGGGTCCAGCTGCTCAGCACAGTTATGGCTCTGAACAGACCCAGTCCTTCCCTCTTTGGACATACAATCTACAAGACAACGCACACGATTAAGTGCATTATTCTATAAAGGTTGCTGTGATTCAGGAAACTGAATGAGCTATATGAATGGGCTCTCAAACAGAAGACCTCACTGATGAAACTCACTTTACAATTCCTGGCCCCCAAGACTTAGTGCTAAGACCCAAAAGTCCCCTGAAGCCTGACTCACTGGGAGCATCACTGCAAACTCACATCTGGTCCGCTAGGCACAGCCACGGCCTCTCTGCTGCTCCCCAGAATGCAATATGGCGCCAAAGGAAGTCACTTCACCACAGTACATCTGTAACTTAGGTGATCACTAGCTACCTGTGACCAGGATAGACACCTGAATGATGTATGTAGCTCATTGTCCTGCCCATTGCAAGCATGCAACTGCTTGCAAAACAGAAACTTTGGCAGCAATATCTGAGATCTCTTCTACAGCAACAGGTCGGAGGCTCTGTTTCAGTTAAAGAACAATTTCAACCATGCTGATGGAAAATACTAAGCTGACCCTTAGTCACTGGCTGTACCATCCTCCCCAAGCAACCACACCATCCAGTGAGGGTGTCACACAGGAGAGCAAGCCTAGGGCTGCCCACAACCACAGACTGCTCTGAAGATCAGCCTGGGAACGTTGTTTCAAACTTGGCCGGGTGTCTGAGCTGTGATACTTGCTTCCCAGGACCCCTCTGGCAATCTGCCTACATTCCAGACGTCCCCCATCTACCTCCCTGTCTCTACAGCAAGGCTCCCTCCCTGGCAGCCCCACCTCCAGTCTCCTCCCTCTACCCTTCACTGTCTTCATCCATCCACACTTCCTTTTCTCACAAAAGGTTTAACACATGCAGCTCACCCACTCTCACAGGCCACAGAAACAACCACATCTAAACTTCCACAGTGTAAGGTTCAAGAGAGTGAGGCCTGGAAGGTAACCCTACAAGTACCAGCATAGAGGAAACAAAGCTAGGGTCACAAGATGCTGCACCAACCACCAGACCCAGAAGAGTAGCAGTTGGCAGGCAGGGAAAAGCTTCAGTCTTCTCCACCAGTACCCACAATGCCACCAGAATTGCTCTGCAACAACAGACTAAGCCTAAGTAAGTGGTGAGCAGGTAGCAAAAGTGTAAGGCAGCAAAGTCCTGCTCTGTCAAATGCCCCTCTACACCAGGTAAGGCACAGAGGCGTCAGAGGCCTGTGCTGGAGACAAAGCTACACACAGTGTGACCTACCAACTCTATAACAGGGTCTTTAATATGACCTTTGACATGATGGGTTGGCAAAGCAGAAGTCTAGGATCACCACTATGGCTTTGACCTGTATAATCCAGGCCCAGTGTGAGAAGGGGCTTGCAGGGACGCTCTGGCCGGTCTGTCCAGATTTTGTCCACAAGATTCTCCTTCACAGGCACGAGTTGGTGACCAGCACTTCGAAGTACCTTGGCCATCTTCTTCCAGTAATCTGAAGAAAACCACATGGTCAGCCATGAAATGAACACTCATTTCATTTAAGACAAATAGCAGGACCTGGCCCAGGCTCTTCTGAAAGGCATTCCTCAGTGTCAGGCACGCAGAATAAAGAACTTCACCACATGACCTTCCCTGCCTCTGTCCCAGAAATGTCTTCCTTAGCTGAGCCTCTATCAAGACACCAAGTCATACTGAGCCCCAAATGCCCCAGATCTAGAAGGCCAGAAAGGACCGAGTCGCTCACCTGTGGGAATGATGAGAGGGTCCACACCAACCCTGGATCCTTCCGGAAGCACACTCACCAGCCAGTCCTCCTGAGTTGGTGTGTCCTTCAGACCTAAGAAGACAGGACTGCTAAGTACAAGGCCAAGACCACAGAGCAAAGCCCCTGCTCACTGTCAGTCTCTGACCAGAGGACTGAGCCTAGGTCTTGGCCACAAAAAAAAACATCTTTCTGGGGATTTCATGTGGTGTACACAGGAACCTACTACAACCCTGGAACTCCAGCCAAAACAGAGGACAGTCTCTTGCTTCTACAAGACTATGAAAAGGCATTAAACAACCTCCAAAATGAACTAGAATCATGTCTATAGGTCAGTTTTTCTTTAATCAAGTCAGTATTTTGGGGATATAGTTTTTAAACCAATGAGATTTTTGCTGAACAGTTAACATCCTGGCACATGTGTGCCTATAAAAACTCATGCATTCATGTTTTCCCTGCTGACTTCTGACAGACAGGAAGCTCAAAGGTTTATAAGCTCAAGACTCCTGGTCCTCAAAAACTACAGGCTGGCATGAAGCTTTATTTTGCTATTCAATTCTTTCCACTTTTTTTTTTTTTTTAACAAACCACTAAATAAGCCACTTTCTTAACAAAAGTTTTTCTTGGAACTCCTGGTGTAACTTCTGTAGAATGAAGTCATATCACTTCCTAGCAAACAGACCTTTGGCAAAACCCCAGGACTGAGTCACTCATGGGCAGTGAGAAGTCCGCAGAACCTCCCTAGAGTGGCACACCTGAGAGAAGGCAGACAGCACATGGGAGCAGCACTCAGAAGGGAGAAGGATCCACGCCACCCATCACGCTGACATTCCTGCTTTAACAGGAGACGGGACTCATGGTTTACTGCTCTGACCCTATGGTGCTATCAGACCTGACAGCTTTAGCTCGTGGACCCCAAAGTCCATTTGTCTCAGCAAAATAAACCTGGGATTTTTTGAACCTTGGATCCTCCAAAAGTGAGTGTGCAATGGTGTGTACACAGAAGCACACCACTTTTTGTTTTTCCATGGCTTTTCAAAGGATCCAAGATGTCAGGAAAAGCATTAAGATCCTAGATCCCTGAAGAATTCCACCACCCCTGCCCAGAGCAGGCCAATGACAGTGGCTGGTCTATGCTTCTACCCACCCATCTTCATGAGGGTCCAGTTGTTGTCCATCTGCTTGGCAGCTTGGAGAAAGTAGCGCCCATCGGTCCACATGGCTGCATGCTCTTCTGTGATGATGGCTGTGCCTAGAGCAAGCAGCAAGAAAAGGTTTCTGACTACCACTGAGAATCTGTACAAGAAATGGTGGTAGGCAGGCCAGGGCAGTGAGGAGCACATGCTCCCAGTGGTCTTAGACTTCAAGGAAACCTTCAGGAAACGATGTCACAGCGGCTGCAAGTCAGACTGTAGGAAGCAGTCTTGAAGCCCAGACTACCGGGATGCTGGTCTCTGCATACATGTAGCCTCAGTTAGGGACAGAACCGAGGACCATATGGCCAAATCTCATAACCAAAAAGACAGGGTGGGGAAGGTTCTTCTGCTCCAATAGACACCCTCAAAGAGCTGCTCCTCCTCCCCCAGAAGCAGGCAACCCAAACCATCGTGATTCAGCAGGCACCAGCAGGAGTCTGTGCCTCCCACCTCTATTCACCCTTAGTTCCCACAGCTCTGGCAGACCTTGGGCTCTCAGCAGAGGTGGTGGCCAAAACCAACCCAAATGTGCCAACCAACACAAGCACTTAAGCCAAAGGAAGCAGAGGTGAACCACAAGTAAAGAGGGGCTCCTACCTCATCTAGTTTGTTCAAGGAATGGTGACCCAAAGGGGAAACCACCCAAAAAGTCAAGGGTGTAACAGTTTTGGAAAACGTAGGGCATAACACCAAAAGCCCAACATCATCCGTTATTATCTGACACCGCTGAAAATGAAGAACCGAAAAGTCAAGTCCTCAGAAAACTAAAATAGGAAAACAGATAAGCTATTAAAAGCCCATTTCACGTTTGGAGCACTAGCCAGGAAGCCATGCTCAGTTTCAATAACACTACTTCCTGTGTGTATGCCATAAGCAATACAAAGCTCAAAAATGTTCTTTGTAATTCAAGGTTGTTCTGCTTTGTCTAAAACAGCAAAAACATGGAAAAGAACAGTCACTAAAAGGTGCCATTGATGAGCCGGGAAATGAGATCCCACACCACCCTGCACAGGCTCAGCTGGGGTATGCCCAGTTTGCATTTACTTTTGGTTCTATAGCATAGGCTGAAACACAATTCAATTATCTTGGGAGGGGTACAAACACAAAGACAAACTGAAAACAGACAATTTAGTGACTCACCTGCAGAGCCATCGAACCCAGAGACAAAAGCCCTCCGACAATCACAGGGTGCAATGTACTCACTCTGGAAAACAAAGATGAGAGAATTGGACCCTAACTGTTCACACCCTGTGCTGAAGCCTACATGCATTACAAAGGCTGGAGGGTTCCTGGTACCTTCACTGGTCAAGCCAAAGGAACAGGTAGAAAAGAAACCAACTTTTTTTTTTAATAGCCATGCACAGTGGCATTCATCTGTAATGCTAGCACTGAGGCAAAAAGATCTCAAGTTTGATGCCAGCCTGGGCTACACAGCAACATCCTGCCTTGAAAAAAGCAAAACAACAACAAAAATTTAGCACACACTGTAAACAACTCTAATTAAAGGCTACGAGCTAACACCCTTTAGCTCCACAGCCCCATTTGGAGAACAAAGCAACCCAGAGAAGCGGCTCAAAACTACTTCAATAAGATCTTACAAACACTGTAGCTTTCTCCCTCCCTTGTCTGACATTTGGGCATCTGTTATTTTTCTGAAAAGTGGAGCTGCATTTCTGTTTTAAGTGAAATCTCTTTAGACATTGGCTTCTTTCTGAACGTCCTGTCTGAGTCCCCTCCATGGTGACATCAGTCTCCCACACAGGCTTGTCCCTTCCTGTCAAGCAATCGAAGAAAATGCTTCCTCCAATCCAGGGGGCTCCAGTAAAACCAGCTTCTTCCCCTGAGAATTCCCCTGCCTCTGTGTAGGAAAGAAGTTCTCGTGTTAGAAGGTGGAGGGGCAGCAGGATGTGAGAAATCACCATATAGCAGCCAGAGAAGCGGTATTCATGTAATGTGCACAAATAGCAGAGGCAGGATTCGAACCTGAGCAGTCAGCCCCAGACCTTCAAGTCTGACCCCTATGCCAGGCTGCCTTCTAGCACATTAGGTACCTCTCATCTTCGGGACTCTAGAAACTGAGTGTAATGGCTAATCCTATCAACTTGATAGGTTCTAGAATCACCTAGGAAACAAACTTCTGGGCAGGTCTGTGGGGAATATTAAAATTAGATTTATTACAGGAGTGGCCCACCCTAAAGGGATTTTCCAGGTTAGGCTAATTGAGGTAGAAGCCCTCTAACTGCACGTGGGCGATTCCACTCCTTAGGCTGCAGTCTCCGACGGAATGAAAAGGAGATAGTATTCTGACACCAGCATTCATCTCTCTGCCTCCCAGCTATGGAGACAATATAACCAGCCACTCATGCTCCTGTGGGGACCCCTTTCCGGCCATGATGGAGTACACCCTCAAGCCCTCCCTTCCTTACCCAGCTTTTGTCAGATGTGTTTGCAGAAAGACAAGTAACTAACACATTAAGGTTCTAAAGGAAACTGTAGGTAACTTGTCCACGGTCAGGGCGACAGTGGACCACGATCCAAGGCCAGCTCTGCTTGTGTCCATTCCTGCTGTGACGGAGACCTACCCACCCCACCAAAACCCTGGGAAAGTGCTCAAAGTACCTGCTGGGAGAAGAGAAGCAAGAGGACCTGCAGACCACACCTAGGCCTAGCCCCAGTTCCTCATCTCTAAAGTGTGTCATTCCCACACAGAGCATATAAGACATACAGACAATTCATTAGACCTACAGAGACAAGAAGAAATGGCCACCAGAATGCTTGTTTGTTAACCCAGTGACTACTCCGTACAAAACTTTCAAAAGAAAGACAGGGGCGCATCAGGCCTAGAGGCACAGGCCTATATCAGCTGCTCAGGAGGTCAAGGCAGGAAGATCTTAAGTTCAAGCCCTGCCTTGAACAAGTTCAAATACAGCCGGGGCATCTTAATAAAATTTTTAATTAAAAATCAAAAAAGCCTCAAAAGTTTTAAAAAAACGTTAAGGAGAAAGAGATGCTGGAGAGAAGCAAAATCTTCTCCTGGAACTACTGGGAACTTGTTAACCTCCGCAGAAGCCTGGAAGAAGAACTATACACAAAAGCGATCGTTAACCCATCTTCCTAAGAAAGCATCTGAGGGATTAGGGCAACAAAGGCAACAGACAACTCATCCTCTCAACATGGATGCTCTCGACTGACAACATGGCTCCCTGGATGTGGCCCTCCTACCTGTGACGTGGCAACGATGCCCTGACAAGACAATGCTAATGACAAAGAGGTCTCCACTGTGACCCCATTACACTGTGGGCGAGCTTGGGCGTGGGGGTGGGGAACAGGAGACCACAGGATTCATGCAGTCCCCACCAGAAAGGCAGGGGACAGATTTCTGCAGCAAATGATCATGTCTAGCCTGGGACCCAGACAAGGCCGGGGGCAAGAACCAGACATGACCTCAGTGGTCAACAAGCCAGAAAGACACCACTAGAGGGGCTGACAGCATCATTCCCTCCACACTGAAGGCCAGACAAGCACTGAGTGCTGGCCCATGCTCTTCCCCAGCCATGAAGCTGGCAAAGCCCAGGGACAGACTTCCCAGAGCCTGAGGAAAAGGCACAAAAACGCAGACACAGCTGCTGGCTTTTCCTCCAAAATTTCCCATTCTCTGCATTTCTCATAAGAGGATTCAGGCCAAGCCTCATCATTCCCACCTGCCCAGAGCCCTGAAATCCACACTGCATACACACTGAGAATTTCAAACACACATATATTCTTAACATCAACATCTTATTACCATGTTCCTTCAAACCCTCTCAGAGGCCCAAACACCACCCTGAAAGGCTTGCCTGTCATGTTTAAGATCAAATGCAAATCTTGGCCCAGTCCCCTAGTTACCACCTCATCAGGCCCTGTTGTCCTCTGGAATCCCCCAACCCCAAATCCCACCAGTGCCTTCTCATGAGGACATTTTAGGCTGAATGTCATCTCCACAGAGAGACTGCCTCAGCTACTGAAACAGCACAGGCACCAGCCACTCTGGGCGCTCTGTACAGAAGCAGCTTTTTTCTTAGGGAACACTTCACACTTTTCCTGCATTGGCCCTTCACACCTTCCCCAGAGCAGCCCGTGAGGCCAGAGTGGTCACAACTGTCCCTGTGCACAGAGCAGATGCCATGCCGTAGGTCCTCAAGCAACATGTGCCAAATAACTGGAAGACCTCTCCCTCGACCCAGGGAACCTTATCCATCTGTATAAAAATGAAAGACCACCAGCCAGGAAACAAAGGTCACCAGAGCAGCCAAAAGCCAGGGTCCTCCCTGCTGGCCCCTACAGACCTGGGGACCTCTTGAGCGGTGGAGGGGATACTTCTGCTGTTTGACCTGTGACAGCATGACTGGAAACAGCAAAGGAACTGAAGAGATCATCTGAAGTTGAGGCTACAAACCCACCCACCTGGCAGCAAGGCAGGAGGCCTTGGGGCATCCTCTACAGACAGCAACTGTTCCTCACTTCCACAGCCTTCAGTACTTGAGCAGAACATGTATGTGCTCTGCTACCGAGGAGCCACTCAATTTTTAACTGTTGGCATCTAGCTCAGACAATGTAAATAAAGCACATCTACAAACTACAGAAAGAACCTTCATCATCTCTCAAACCCCAGCTCCAACACCCCTCTAACCCCCACTTCCCAGCTTTCAGAGGTCTCCCACATCTGTCAGGCTCTAATCCTTTGCGTTGCCAACAGCTATATTAATTTCTTCCAATGCTAATACCACAGCAGGTCTAGAAGTAACCATCTCCCCAGCTACGGGTGGAAAAACAAAACTGAAGCTCACAGAAGTCAATTACTTCCTTCCACCCACAGTACCACCACAACAAACAGTAGAGGAGAAATTTGAACTCAGGCCTCACTTTTAAAAGCCCTCATCCTTGCTACACTGCCAAGCAACTTCCCATCTTGAACTGTGTATAATACTTACAGTACAAACAGATTCTAAATTCAGAAGGAACAAGGAATACAAAGTATGCTCCAGAGTCCTCAACCTTCAATAACCACACAACTGACAATCCAAGCCTATGACCAAGCCTGGCACTCAACTTACTAGCTGGATAAACCTTGGGCTCAACATGCTCACCTATGATATGGGGAGAAGATGATGCCCACACTAAAGGCTGGGAATGAGGGGGTGCTCAGCACTAACAAGGGACAGCACTAGCTCCTCTGCATTGGGCAGTGAGCCAGACTCAGGGAACCTAAGCAGATTTCTCAGAGGAGGCAATCTGGCCAGCCACAGGAGATAGGAATCCCAAGAAACATGAGCTAAGCCACCTAAGGTATGCCAAATATGCAGTATGAAGCTTGCTCTAGATGCAAGGTTGCTCAGATCTGCCTTTACCCCATCAGGCCACACTCAGAGGTTTAACCTGTGCCACCATGGACAGACGAGAAGAGAGAGGACAATCCAAAGAAAGGGGAAGGCCAGAAGCGAGAGACAGAAGGTCTAGGCTGCCAGCCAACTGGCCTGACAACAGAGGCTGCAGCAGAGAATTCTGGGAACAGTCTGAAGACATAGTCAGAGCCCTACAGAGTAGCAGCAGAGAATTCTGGGAACAGTCTAAAGAAACAGTCAGAGGCCCAAACACCACCCTGAAAGGCTGCATTCTATCCTGTAAGCCCTAGAGAAACACTAAGGTTGAGGATAGGGCAGTAGCTAGTGCTGGGATTTAAGATCTGTCACATGGCCACATGCACATGGAACAGGGCAAGGACAATTAACGCTGAGACAAGTAAGACTAAAGTTACTAGAGGCCACGCTGGGGGCATCTCTGTCCCCTCCCTGACTCTCCACTCCCATAATCCAAGTATCTGGAACATGCTTCATACACATTAAGTTCTCAAAAAAACTGAAAGTGAATGGCTGGACGTCTGTACACAGAAAATACCACATGCAGACCGTGCACAGAGACATAGCTCCTTGTTTATCCCCAAACGCTAACATAATTGATGCCCAGGCTTTGGCACGTCTCTCCTAAAGGGAAGGGAGTCCACATCTGTGAGGAAAGTGCATGGCGACCCAAAGGCAACCGCTCCTGCCATAGTGTAGATGGGTTACGGCACAGTGGCTCCCCAGCCAGGACTCCACTTCCCAGGCAGCACGGCTGCTGGGTAAGTCACGAAAGGGGAAGGAACGGCTGGGTCAAGAGTTCAAAGTA